CTATCCAGTCCCACCAGGCAAGCCCTTAGGTCCTGACAAGGGGGAGGAGCTTTCAGTCGAAGTTCCGTCAGAGGTTCTGTTCCACACAGTTCTCCTGTGCTTTTCCCCAAGCCCTAGGCCCTCCCTAAGAAGACTTCTTTGTCTGTGTGAAGTGGTCTCTGCATAACCTTAGGCCTTTCTTTTTGCAGCCACAGCAGCCACAGTTGGCAGGCAGTATTTTTAACCTCACTCAAGCTCAGGAATCAGGTGGCCTAAAAGGTTGCCCAGTCTAGTGACCTTCACCTCTAAACTCCGTGACTGCCAGGAAGGGGAGAGCTCCGTCTGGGCCTCTAACATCGTCTGGGGCCCAGAAAGATTTGTCCAGTAAGCAGAAGCTGCCAAAGTCACCCCCACTCCTGCCAAGTCAAATAGGCAAGAACCTTGGGGCCAGTCCTCCTCCTGCCAGGGTGCCAGGCCAGCTGGAGGCTGGGACACGGCCCACGTTAACTCCCAGGGCCCAGGGAACCCAAGAGGCAGAAACAAAAGCTCACCTGCCCTCCCAACATTTGGGGCCCAAGAGGGCATTCAAAATGCAAACTTTAATAAACAGCAGGTCAAATACGGATTCCTCAAGAGTGAGAACAGCAGAACTGGTATAAAGAGGCCTCAGGGGCTCCCCCTTCCTCCCCTCCAAGACTTGGAGGTAGAAAGCAGTGGGCCCTGCTGAGGAGGAGTGGTACCCAGCTCCGTGTAAGTCCATCTGTCTGAGGCCCTAAGCTCCACAAAGCAGCAGTGTGTGGAGCAGAGTGGCCCCCTGCCAGGCCCAGAAGGTCCTAGGAGGAGTGTGGCAGGCTGGCAGGCCAATATCTGCCGTCAGATCCTGAAGCTTTCCTCCCGGCCATCAATGTGGCGGAGCCGCAGGTAGACATCTGTGCCAATGCCCTGGAGGGACTGTAGCTGCAGGGAGCCACCGAGATACTCCGCATAGGCCCTGGACGTGGGCAGCCCGAAGCCAAAGCTGGGGGCAGTGGATAGGACAGGATAGGGGCTTCAGAAGCTTGAGTGTCCTGGTCTCCCCTTCCCCCCACCTTGGGCAGGTAGGGGGCCTTACCCATGCATAGGTCCTGACTGGCTGCCACTGTGCATATCCAGGTGGCCGAAGAGGGGGCTGATTCGGGGGTCCTGGGTGCTGGCCTCAGCTGTGGTGAAGTGGTAGTCCATGACCCGATCCAGGTCTTTGTGAGCAATTCCTCCACCCCGGTCTGAAATCCTGGCAGGATGTGGACAACACGGACTTGGTCAGATCTGATGAGGTCTCATGAGCCCTCTAGGCATACAGTGCTGAGTATGACTTCCTGTCCCATGGGGGTAGAAAGGGGCTCTCTTTCTGTTTACACCTCTGCCTGGGCCACAGGCTGCCTATACCCGGTCATCATTTGACATCTGCCCTTACTCATCAAACACCTTTGGCCAGCTCCAGGTTTCTCAGCTGGCCCCAAATCCACAGTGCCCAGGTCCTGGCAATCTCAGGATCCAAGAATATCTTTTCTGACCAGGCTCCAAGCCCCAGAGGTGGGTAGGTTCTGGCTTGAGGTCCTACAGCAAGTCAGAAATAGCGCCCAGAATCTTCACCCACCCCAGCCCAACTCTATTTGAGCAAACCTGATGATGAGATCAATATCGTTATTGGCGATGGTGATGACCACATCTGGAACATTGTAGGGAGTATCTAGGTGACTCTCCATTGTGGCTCTGTTCAGGAGAGAGAGACCAGTCAATGGTGGCACCCTAGTTTGTCTCCCCCCACCCAACATAGCCAACCTGCCTACCTCATAGCATTCTTGAGCAGCTCAGGCAGGATGTAGTCCAGCGGCATGGGGATGAAGGGGAAACGGGCAGCCACGTGGCCGTTGATGCGGACTCGAGGGGCATTGCCATACTTGTGCTCACACAGGCGTCTGTGGATACAAAGGTTCGGTAGGTATTTCGAGGGCTGTAGCTCCTAAGCGAGGTAATTCTTCCCAAGGGGCGTTGGGCAACACATAGATAGTTTTGCTCATCCCATGGAAGGACATTCCTGCTGTCAAATGAGCAGAAATCAAAGGTTACACTAAATAGCCTATGTCAAATGCACAAAAGCCCTCCACTAGCTTAAGATGTCAGTCGTGGGGCTGGAGAGATGGTTCACTGGTTCTTTTTTTTTTTTTTTTTTTGAGCTAAGGACCGAAGCCAGGGCCTTGCACTTGCTAGGAAAGCGCTCTACCACTGAGCTAAATCCCCACCCTGTCGCTGGTTCTTAAGAACACTTCTTCTTGCAGGGGATTCAAGTTCCCAGCCCCCATGCTGGGCAGCTCACAACTGCCGATAACTCCAGTTCCAGGGGGACCTCTGTGGGCACCCAGCACAAACATGGCGCACATCCACACATGGAGACAAACACTCATACACACAGAAAACAAGTAAATCCTTAAAGAGATGTCAACAGTGCCACTCTGAGAACCCTGCCTACACTGCACAGTGATATACATCGGTAATCCCAGCACTAAGGAAGATTGACACAAGCCTGCAGTGGTGGTGTACACCTTTAATCCAGCACTTGAGAGGAAGAGGCAGGTGGATCTCTGAGTTCAAGGCCAGCCTGGTCTACATAAGAGAGTTCCAGGACAGCTAGAGCTACCTAGTGACACCTGATCTCAAAAAAAAAAAAAAAAAGAGAGAGAGAAAGAAATGGCTTTGTAGGGGCTAGCAAGATGGCTCAATGAGCACTGGCTGCTCTTGCAGGACCTGGGTTCGATTCCTAGCACCCACATGGCAGCTCACAACTATCTCCTCTTCCAGGGGACCCAGCACCCTCATACAGACATACATGCAGGCCAAACACCAATGTACATAAAATACAATATAAATAAATTATTAAAAAAGAAAGAAATGGCTTAGTGAGTAAAGGCACTTGCTGCCATGCCTGACTACCTGAGCTTAGTCCCTGATCCCACAGTGGAAGGAGAGAACTGACCCCATCAAGTTGTCTTCTGACAGAATTGTGGCACATGAAACACATATTATCATACCCTCAGAAATAATTAAATGTAATAAAATTTAAACCAAAACTGGCTAGAGAGATGGCTCAGTAGTTAAGAGCACCTGCTGTTCTTGCAGAGGACCTGGGTTTGGTTCCCAGCACCCACATGGCACACAGACACACATGCAGGCAAAACACCCATGCACATAAAATACTGTTTTTAAAAAAGCAAAACAAAAATGAGCCCTTGCCCTAGACCATACGAGGGACTCAGACAGACCCTCTCTGCCCCCTGGACACCAACCCCTGCTCCATGCTAGTCTCACCTGGCAAAATCCACCCACTTCTCAATAATCTTCTTGGGTGACAGACGAGTGCAGATAATGCCAACAAAATCAGGCTGGCAGGAAGAAAGAAGGTCGGAGCTAGCAAGTCCCCACCCCAGCTGCCAAATGCCCAGGGTTTCTGGAATGCCAGAGCAGCCCCAAAGCCCGCCCCTGGCCCCAAGGGGGCTCGTGGCTCATGCGTCCCCATCTAACATTCCCAGGTCAGTCAGTCCCGGCCATCGGCTCCACCTTGTCTTCATGCAGTGCCAGGTGGTGAGTGGCCAGCATGCGGATCCCAAGTCTCGAAGTCAGAGTCTTGTCCAAGAAGTACCGGACCAGCTTTTCATCCTGTAAAGAGTGGGCCTCTAAAACCTGTGTCCCGTCTCAACCATCCCACTTCGCCGGGCCCCATTCTCAACTGCCGCTGACCTCTATGTGTTTCCGGCTCTCGCGAAGACCCTCAGCTAACAGGGTCACCACATCCTTGTGGTCATCCAGCAGCTGTCGCACCAGCTGGCAATACTGGGCCTCGTCGTTCTGGTCCTTGATCTGCAGGTCACAGAGTCATAAGCACAGTGGTCCAACCCTGACCTTGGCCCCCCACCCTACTCAGCCAAGCCTCACCGGAGGGAAGTCTGTCAGCTTCTGGAAGGCCCGGATGTATAGCTCATGCTGCGTGGAATAAGTATGGGAATTCACAGAGCTGTCACAGACACTCGAATAGAAAAGAGTGTCACCATAGGGCTCACCACCCGACTCAATTAGTAAGGTCCAAGCCCCGACAGACCCTTCCAGTTCCCACTGATAGGCAGGCGTGGCCTCTGATGTTCTGAGGCTCAGTCCCGTCTGGACCTGACACCTTTCAGCAGCCCCGAGCTCCCCCGTTTGCCTCTTGGGCAGGGTGCATGCTGACAGGAAGTCCCCTCTACCTTACCACATGCAGTATGGTGGGATTGCAACCAATGATGAAGGGAAGGCTACGGAAGCCCTTGATGCGGTGAGCAATCCTCACTGGTAACTCCTGCTGCAAGTAGCGGCCACTTTTCTATAAGAAAAAAAGAGGGGAGGGCCTAAGCAGCTGGCTAGAATCTCCGGAGCAGCGAGGAAAGAGAGAGCCTTACCAGAAGGTGGCTGCCATCCTGTGAGCGGCCGGAATAGAGCATCATGGTGGGAGTGAGGCGGACCGAGGGCTGAAAGGGAAGATGGACTTTGAGCACCAGACATTCGAGACCCCACCAACCCCACCACATTAGCTCAGCCCTTTCCCTTAAGACTTATTCCAACTTGACTTCTGCCCATCACCCAAGCAGCCTACCTTCTCTGCTGCCACGTCAATGGCTGACTGGTTGTAAAAGGAGGTGACAGTCTTGGAGCGTTCTCTGGCCAGCTCCACATGGTGTGTATCGGTGGCTGATGTTGATCGAGCCCGGAGTGACAGTGAGGACCCCAAGAGGGGCCGAAGTGAAGGCCCTCTCCGAGGGCCGCTGCCCAGCACCAAAGTCAATATCATTGTCCTGTTTCTTTGTTGGACTAGGCTGCCACTACAGGATTAAGGACCCGACAGGCAGTGGTGACCCCAAAGCGGAGCAGAGACAGTAGGCAGGGCTTTTCTCGGATTTCAGGGATGTGGGTCCCTCAACGATGCTGACATGCTCCGCGCAGGCACAACAGCTTCCATCTATAGGAGTGGTGGAAGGCAGTTGTAAGGCTCCGAGTCCAGATGGTCTGCACTATTTCTCCAAGTGCACACCAGTATCCTCAGACCTGGACAACCTTGCCCAACCCTTAACAACCACCACCTCCCCAGACACTCAGGCCGAGATTGGACAATACTTTCCGGGGGTTGTACTCTTCTTCTACATGAAACTCAACCTGACGGTATGTATGCGGGCTCGCTCGGGGAAGCGGGTGGAGTAATCTCCAGTTCATTCTGGCCATAAAACCTCTCCCCTGCTCCCTCAGGTTCCGAACCACCCCATTCAGGGGGTGGATCTGACCCCTACTCGGCATGACGGCACCCGAGCCCTTGAAGACTGGCCTGCGTCCGTACGACAAGCATAGCGTACGGGAGAACAGGGTGCATGGAGCAAAACTGCGGTCCCAGGGTTCCCCATCGGAGATCCCCCCCTTCGCTGGGTCACTTAGTCCGGCCGGGGTCCCCCCATATGGTAGATGCCAGCCCCCGCCCATGCGCACTCCCGCGCAGAGGTGGAGACTGAGGGCCTGTGCTGCCGAGCGTCCGCCGGAGGGGTTCTGCGCGAGTTACTCCACTTACCGCGAAGCCAGACGCTGGGCCCGGGTCCGAGCGGAACCGCCGAAGCAGCCGACCCGCCCGGCTAGCCGAGCCCGCCTGCGCCCTCCTCCGATGTAACATCGCGCGGGCTGTGTGTGCCCAGTGCCTCCTGGGAGTTGTAGTTTGGCCACGAGGACTTGCGTGGGCTCTTGCCCATCGGGCTATCCCCACCCACTTCAAATAAGTAGTTTAGTTCCCTCCGGTGGTCCCGAAGTTATCAGTGGCCAATCATCGACTCTGCCTTCTGTTTTATAAAATGAGCTCCCTGGGAGCAAAGCTTTTGAGAGAGGAAAAACCCTTAGATCCTAGGGGCCCATCCTTCAAGCTCCTAACTCATTCATGGTCCGCTTGGTTCAAACTCCAGCTCAGCTTCCTTAACACCCGAGGAAAGTAAGCTAATTTCTCAGTACCCTAATTTTGGTATTGGCACAATGAGGAACTCTGTAGATTATATAAATTTATATATCCAAGCTGCCTAGAACAGTGCTAGGTGTGGAATTAGCATGGGCGTTGCTATTCCTACCTGCCGGCGAGTTAACATGACTGGGTGACTCATGGGAGGTAGGGTGACTCAAATAAATAGCTGTCTGCTCTGAGGAAGAAGACGGTGTGATAAGCTGTCTAGTGGCTGCACAGGAGTTTGTGAGAGAGCCAGGTGTAGGATACAAGTAGAACATGGCCAGGCAAGGAAACTGGGACCGGATAAAAAACAGCCTGGATGATTTGAAGGTATGGCTGGAGCCGATTGGAATCTCGGAGGGAGGGGATTCATGGAGTGGCCAACAGCTGGAAGTTAGCAACCGCCTAATGATTTTGTTTTTATTGTTTTGATTGGTGTTTTGAGACCAATCTCAAATAGTGAATCTCACTATTGTGGATAGACTGGCCTGGAACTCTCTATCCTCCTGCCTCAAGCCTGAGACTCTGGCCCTTCCTACCTCAGCCTCAGTTTACCGGCAAGTGCCACCACACCTGGGTTCAATAAGGGTTTTAATTATCCCCTCCTCCTTAGAACCCTCTGGCTGTAGTGATGGAAACCTGGACCAGCTGGCAAAAAGAACGGAGAAGGAATTAATTAAGCAGAAAGATGATCAGGGGAGATTTTTCAGAATGTGTGTACTGATTTCTTAATATTTAAAGATAATATTATAATAATATAAACAAGACAGTGGTTTCCTTTGAAAACGTCCCGCCTTGGGGGTGGAATCCCTCACATGGCTGACCTGCCTGAGGAAGTCGGGGAAGGTCTGCAGAGACACCTTCCAGACTTACAGAATCTCTAGGTCTCCTAGTTGATTCTTCCCCCACTCCAATCCTCCCCCTTCCCCCCCTTTTTTTACAACTTCCTGGCAACATCCTGGTGCAAAGCCAGGAGCCATTCAGCTCTGGCTGGCAGGCATAACTTTAGCACGTGGAAGAAGAGGGAGAGAAGGGTGACAGCCTTCATCACAAGCAAAGGACTCTGAGTGGCTGTTAGGTTCCTGGACTTGCCGCTCACGTGGCTGCGGCGTGGATGGGAGCCACCCCAGGCGGCGACTGTGACAGCCGGTAGGCGGAGGCGTCTGGCAACAGCTTCACCTCATTTAACCTGGCTCTCCACTAACGCTCCATCTGAACTGGCTGTAGCTGCCGGCTACCTAGGTTGAGCACACATGTCCTTAGCTCTTGTTCACAAAGCTGCCGGCTCACAGGTAGCTTAGAGGTGGTTCGGCACTGCTTTGATTGTTTATCTTTGTAACTGTTCTATACAGTGAGCACTGTTTTCATCTTCCTATTACAGACGCAAGAATCGGGACACAGAAAGATGAAAAGATTCGTCTCCCCCCCCCCTCTGTCCTCGCCTCCTCACACTCGTTCTGTCCCACACTGGTGGCCTCTCAGTGGTTCACCAAACATGCTGGGCTTATTCCATCTCTCACTGGCTGTTCTCTCTGCATGGAACACCCTTACCCTAGACAGCCTCATACCGTGTTTCCTCATCTCCGGGATTTTACTCAACTGGATGAAGCTCACGCTGTCCGTCCTAATTAAAACTGCGGTCGCGTCCACCTCCCCCGCTCTGCTTTTTCTTCTCTGTACTATCGTCACCCGTTTCTTTGGTTTTGTTTTGGTTCTAGTTTTTTGAGACAGGGTTTCTCTGTGTAGCCTTGGCTGTCCTGGATCTCGCTCTGTAGACCAGGCTGGACTTGAACACACAGAGATCCGCCTGCCTCTGCCTCCTAAGTGCTGGGATTAAAGGCATGTGCCACCACCACCTGGCTATCACCCTCACCAATAACACACGCACACACACTGTGGAGATTATACATATATCGAAAGTACTGAGGGTTTTATATACACACACACACACATATACTTTATGTATATATATTTATATATATTTTATATGTGTGTATATACATATGTGTATATGTACATGTGTGTATATACATATGTGTATATGTATATATGTGTGTGTGTATATACACACACACACACACACACACACACACGTGTGCATACATGTGCATGTGGGGAATATAGTGAATCAAACCCAATATCTCAGACATACTAGGCAAGACCATTGATCTCCACCTCCAGCTCCCAAATTTATTAGTTGCTAATTCCATATTTTTAACAATACAAGAAGACAGCATGTAAAGTATTTGTTTGGCAGGGCTGGAGAGGTGGCTCAGCAGTTAGGAGACCCTGATTAGAAGGAATCCCAGCACCCACATGGCAAGTAACAACCATCTATAACTTCACTTCCAGGGGATCTGACACCCTCTTTTGGCCTCTGAGGGCACTGTGTACACACTGTGCACAGATACACATGCAGACATAAACACCCATACACATAAAGTCAAAACACAATAAAAATGTGTGCACACCCTGTTTTATGCCACATCCCTAATCTAATAATCCAATTCTCTCTCTCTCTCTCTCTCTCTCTCTCTCTCTCTCTCTCACACACACACACACACACACACACACACACACACACACACGCTTTATTTTATTTATTTATTTATTTATTTATTTATTTAGGTTTTTCAAGACAGGGTTTCTCTGTGTAGTTTTGGTGCCTGTCCTGAATATCACTCTGTAGCCCAGGCTGGCCTCGAACTCACAGAGATCTGCCTGCCTCTGCCTCCCGAGTGCTGGGATTAAAGGCACGCACCACCACCGCCCGGCCCAACATGACTTCTTATTGCTTTAACATATTATTGTTAAGTTGCTATTGCTGTTTTGTGGTTATTTACTAGGTACTGATAGGTCCTCAACCTTATCTGCTGTGTAAACTCTTCCCATGCTGAATAGAACTCACCTGATTGGATAAGACAGAAAAGGTGGGGTTGGGGATTTAGCTCAGTGGTAGAGTGCTTGCCTAGCAAGCGCAAGGCCCTGGGTTCGGTCCTCAGCTCTGAAAAAAAAAAAAAAAAAGACAGAAAAAGTGGTGTGGCATGTGAGGCTGAATCATAAAGTAACTGTGTCTTCCAACCTTTCCTTGTTGTTGTTTTGCTTTAAGTGACAGGGTCTCAGTATGTAGCTCTGACTAGCCTGAAACTTACTCTGTAGACCAGGCTAGACTCAAATTTGCAGTGATCCTCCTGGCTCTGCTTCCTGTTGTATGATATTTTGTTTGTGTTATGACAAATAAAGCTTGCCAGGAGATCAGAGGGAAGAGCTAGCCACTAGGTAACCATAGAGGCCAGGCCGTGGTGGCACACGCCTTTAGTCCCAGCACTTGGGAGGAGGAAGCAGGAAGATTGGGAGTTCAAGGCTACCCTGGGCTACACAGAGATTGAACCAGTCTAAAAGAGAAACAGAGCCGGGTGGTGGTGGTGGTGGTGGTGGTGGTGGCGGTGGCGGCTGCGGCGGCGGCAGCAGCAGCAGCAGCAGCAGCAGCAGCTCACACCTTTAAACCCAGCACTTTAGATCTCATGCCTTTAATCCCAGCACTAGGAAGGTGGAGACAGGAATATAAATAAGGCAGGTGGACACAGGATCTCAGCTGCTATTCGATCTCGGGATTCATAGAGACAGGATTTCCCCCATTCAGTCTGAGACAGGACAGACATTTCAGTCTGAGAATTGGTAGAGACAGGATCTTGCCCTTCAGTCTGAGGATTCCTAGAGGTAAGAAGTCTCTCTAGTGGCTGCTGCTCTAATCTTTCAGCCTTTACCCTCGATATCTGACTCTGGGTTTTTATTGTTAAGACTAATTAGGATCACACTTCAGCTTCCCAAGTGCCGGATCACAGGCACACACCATCATGCTCAGCTGTGGCTTCTGTCTTTCTCCTACTTATATCACTCTTTCTAATCTAGGAGAAGTCAGCAGTAGATAACAGGAGTTGAGAAATAGGCCTAAATCCTATTGTCTATATTCATTCCCATGAGCTGTTATAACAAATTACAGCAGGTTTGGTGGTTTGCAACATCAAAAAGTAATTTTCTTTTTCTTTTAAAGAGGCTGTGTGTGTGTGTGTGTGTATACAAGTGTGCACATGCATGTGGAGATCGGAGGATAATTTTGTGGAGTTGGTTCCACCTGTTAGAATTTGGGTGCAGAAGTAAAAAGACGTCATAAGAGACCAGAGTTTGACCTCAACAGACAGGATTGTTTATGTCAAACATCAAAGAACAGACGCTCTCCCTGGGAAAGGGGGTCTCAAAAGGAGAAAGTTGATTGGGGCCCCTAATGGAGGCAAGTGAAAGGCTTGGGAAGAGGAAGTTAATGCAGTCTCAAGGGGCTACATCTGTCCATTGTGCACGTGAAGCCATTTTATCTTTAGAAACTGCCTTGCCTGGCTATCAGGAAGCAGGTGATAGTGGGTGACCGAGTCAGGCAGTGGCAGTGATGGGGAAGAGGCTGGAGTGTCAGCACGGGGCAGGGGATTTCAGCAAGCCTTAGGGGAAGAGAAAGTTCATCGGTCAGGGTCTTGCCGAGTTTGTTCAAGGTTTATTGGGAACCCACATCACCTTCCCATGGATTCTGGGGATTAAACTCAGGTCATCAGATTTGTGCGGTAGGAAACCCTTTTTCTGCTGAGCAATCTCTACGTATTTCTAATTGTTCTTTAGTGCAGACGTCTAATATAGGTGTCACCAGACTAAAAAAAAAAAACATCAATAGCTTCTTGGGTCTGGGGATCCAGGTCTGTGATCCTAGTAACTAGGGAACTGGAGGCAAGAGTTGAGGGGGTCAGAGGAAGGAGACTGGTCTGCACGGTACCACATCACTGACTCCTGTATGGCTTCCTCCCAGAAACCTGACTGGGGCAGGGAGGGGAGGAAGAAAGAACAGACACACAAGCACAGGTACTGGGCTTGCTCTGATGGAGTGACCTTCCATACAAACCCCTCAGACCTCAGAGTTTATTATGTACAGCAGAGGGACAGGAGTTAGTTAGCTAGTCTCAGTAGGAGGCATCTGTAGGTGAGCAGTCTCAGGCTGTAACATCTGGTAGGTGGAGGCTACAGTTGCTAGTCTTTGCCCACGCTGGTCAGTTGTTCTCCAACACTCATACTTGTACATACTATCAGCATGTTCACTTGGACCAAAGGAAGACTGTGGCATCTCTCTGAGCCTCACTCCAGGACTGAGGAAGCTTTGCCAAATTCCCATGGGTCTTTGAGATGGCCTTGGTCCTTGAGATGGCCATGACCATGACAACAATACACATTCACTCAGGACTTCATCCAGTCCTTACACACTTATTCAAAGGCTTCCTTGGCTCCCCACAGCACAGTATTAATTGATTAACTGGTTAATTCTGGCCAAACGTGATGACACATGTCTGTAACCCCAACATTCAGGGAGCTGAGGTAGGTGTCTTGGGAAAAGTTTTGTTAGCCAGGGCTGTATGGAGAGGCTGTTCTAGAAACTCTAGGAAGATCTGTTTCTGTTTCTCTGCCCTTCCCTGCTTTTCAAAGTTTCTAACATTCATTATCAGCTCAGGACGCCCTCTGTTGCTTCTGAGGTCACTTCCCTGTGACTCTTTCCTGTGAGCTCTCTTTTTTTTTTTATTGGACCCACACAATAATCCAGGGTAGTATCTCTGGCTTATTTATTTGTAGTTCATGTTGAAGATAACCTTGAATTCTTGATCTTTCTGCCTCCAACCTCCCAAGTTTACCATCATGCCTAGCTTATCTTGTATGTATTTATTTTTGCTTGTTTCTCTGTAGGTCATAACTGGAAAGATCTTGATAAAGAAAGGGAAAGATCTTAGCTGGCATAGTGGTGCATCCCTTTAATCTCAGCACTCTGGAGGCAGGGGCAGGCTGTTCTATGTGGAGAGTTCTAGGACAGACCCCCATCTACAAAAATAAAAGGAAGAGATCTTAAATAAGGGAGATGGGAAATAGAAAGGGAAACAGAATACATATAATAGGACAGCGAAAAGGGGGCTGACTGGGGGAACAGGGGAACTATTTGGGAGGCATGAGGGGGACCGGAAGAAGAAATGGGGATATAAATAGAGTGAAGTGTAAGTACATATGTACAGAGGTGCCACAATAAAACCTGTAGTGGGTATTTGTTCCACCTATGACCTTGGGGTACCAGCCCCTAGGGTGTGGCCTCTTGGCTAGCTTAAGACCTGAAGAGCATACACACAGGGTCTCTTCTCTCTCTCCTGTTCTTGGACAGTGAAGACTGACTCAGGCATGGAGAAGCAGCGTGGAATCAGCTTTCAACCTTGCAGGACCCTACAACGGATTTGCTTTATCCTGTATCAGTGAGTTGATACCCCATATAACCCCTTAATGAATAGATTCATTATCAATATCTGTAGATTACTACTCCTGCATAAAAAACCCATTACTCTGTATCCTAATCCTAAAACAATAATAAAAGTCCTATGACACGAATAATAAAACAAATACTTTTGTTTGTTTGTTTTTCAAGACAGGGCTTCTCTGTGTAACAGCCCTGACTGTCCTAGAACTCGTTTTGCAGACCAGGCTGGCCTCAACACGAATAAAATGAAACACCAGGTGCCCACTTTAATTCTATGCAACATTAATTCCTTTTTGCCATACAGCCTAAGGTAGACATGAGTTCTAAGCATCTTTGGAAACTGATGCGGTACCCACCACATTCTCCGAAATAAGAGGAGTAGATCTGAGAAGGAGCAG